TTTACCTCAAAAAAGATATTTAAACCCACACCTGATGGAGCCTGAGTGCTCTTCTGGAGGACATCTGTTACACACACACCAGTGCACTGTATCTGCCACTGAAAACTGCAGTGTATAGCACAGCCAGTCTCAGCATGCAGAGGAGCCTCCTGTCTCCCAGGGGTGTCATTCTCTGTGTGTGCCCTACACAGCACATGCCCACTGGTAGTTTTGCCGACTTCCCAATAGCTTCCAAAAACACAAGACTCAGTGAAAGGTAACATTATGAGCAATTCACACATTTTTCTCCCACACAATCATTCTACTTAAATCACAACAAAACAGGCTGCAGGCCAGAAAACTGTTCTGAAGATGTAGTACAACTCACATCATCTTTCTCAGGGCTTTGTGGTCTCTTTTCTGAAAATTCTGTATTCTAGTCACATAATGGAGAAGGTTTTGTTCATCTGGGAAAGTCAACAAAAAGCAACAACCTGTTGCTAGTATTAGTGTAATTTATCATGCCTAGAGTCAGTTTCCTGCATGTTGTCAAAGACCTTTAGGAACCAAGGAAAAGAGGAACGTCTGTTAAATCAGAGGAAAATCACTGAAAACACTGCAGATTGCACACCCTTTCATTAATGACTCAGAGGGTCATTAAAAAACCAATATAGATATTTAAGGGGTAAACTACCAGACACTAAGCTACAGTCTCATCCTCCAGGCAAATGCAATCTCCACTACATTTGATTTATCTCCTCTTGTTATAAAATGCAGATATATCACCAGACAGCCTTTAATGGGTATTAAAATGATTAAATAATTAACATTTGAAAGCTATTGAAGAAAAAAAAGAAATTCTAAAGATTCGAAGAAGCAAAAAGAACACATCAGGTATCTACCAAAGCAGTAACTGGAAAGTTTATTTCTAATTGAAGTGCATTACTATCTTTAAAGATTCTGGTTTATTATTGTATTTATTGTTGTATAGAAGGAATTACACATAACAAACATGAGGCATTTCACTTCAAATTGATACATTTTGGGAAAAAAGCATAATTTTTGTGAAACCGGCTCCAAAGAAGAGTTTTACAAGTCCTGATGCTTCAAACACTTAAGTTCAGCTCAGATATAAGATTATTTGCATTGAAATCAGAGAGGCTCTTCAAAATCATACAGACTGGCATATGCATTAATTGCAGGAATTTGGCTTCAGTCATCACCACCTTTCACTTCAACCACAGTTGTGTGAGTGAACTTCCTGTGTGCCCTTTGCAGAGGTGCTACAGAGCTAACTACTGCACAGCATCTGTTAACATATGGTAACACATTTAGTACCACGAACACACAGAGAGATTGGGCAAAACCAAGAAATTGCTGCTTGAGTATTATGACTAACTATCACGGAATCATAGCATCATTTAGGCTGGAAAAGACCGTTAAGATCATCAAGTTCAACCATTGCCCTAGCACTGCCAAGTCCACCACTAAACCATGTCCTTAAGTGCCACATCTACACATCTTTTAAATCCCTCCAGGGTTAGTGACTCAGCCATTTTCTTGGGCAGCCTGTTAAAATGCTTGACAAACCTTTCCATGAAAAAGCTTTTCCTAATATTTAACCTAAATCTCCCCTGGCATGACCTGTGGCCTTGTCCTATCACTTGTTACATGGAAGAAGATAGAAAACTCTACCTGGCCTCGTTTCAGAAAACTGGAGAGTGTGATAAGGTTTCCTGTGAGCCTCCTTTTCTCCAGCCTAAACAACCCTTTTTCCCTGAGCTGCTCCTGACAGGACTTGTTCTCTATGCCATGATTATGTAAAGCAACATAGAACGTCTTTCTCATCTTCCTTAACTTGTAAAAACTTTAAGAATGTATATTTAAGTATACACTATAGTATAAAACTGTGCTACAGAAATCCTTATGCTTTTACAATGCGTATATTTATGCACAGCAATACACTTAAGCAATTATATTCTTACACTTAGTCAATTGAGTTTTTAAAACCAAACAAGTCATGCTTTGGTGACTGTATAATCAATACTCATAGCAATTTCAGAGAAAATAACAGTTCAGTCCTCTCCAATACACATCAGTGAGATACGGAGAGAGTAACATAATTTCTAAGTCTCAGCGGACTTCACCCAAATGTGAGAGACAGCTTAAGCCCAAAAGTCATAGAACTCCAAAAAGGGTTGCAGAATTTCTCAAATAATTACATCAGCTCCTGTTTAGATTTACCAAATACAATACTTGGCATTATGATGTGTAAAAAATTAGTCCTTTGATATAGGTTTGTCCCAGACATCCGAGATCCTTCAACATTAACAAACACATGTGAATTGACAGTTACAGTTCTCAGCTTCTTGAAGTCAAGAAGATCCTTTCCATTATGATATTATCGGTCACTAATGTATTTCAGCCACCTGCTTAATTAACACACTTAGAAAGTCTCCATCATGGGAACAGCGCTCCTATGCATGTTATCTTGCACATAAAAAGTGATAACTGAAATCAGAATATAGCCCTGTAACATTCTTTTTCTTCTTTGCACATACATTTCTTTTGAAATGGGTAACAATACAATTGTTTCTTTTATTTGGAATATAAAAGAATTCTAGGTAAAACCTTAATTGACTTACCTAGGCGATGGAGTTTTTTTAAAGAAAATATGCAAAAAGTCAGCTTCATTATTTTAATACCTAAATAAATCAACCAAAATCTGAAAAAGATTCTCTTTTACACACCTAAAGATGGATGTCTGTGTTCTGCATTTTAAATGTAGTGTACGCTTTAAATTACCTGCTATAAATAGTAGAACAGTTTTCCCAGAATCCTGATGTAGGAGCAAGAAGTTTTGTAATTTTTTAAAGAAAGGGTTGAATAAACAAAGAATACTGAACTCCGAAGAGAACAAATCAAAGAGCTATATGCAACAATGCCCTGCAATTCAGTGATGGCAGAAAGCCATGATTTGAAAATAGTTATACTGCATATAGGTTCTGTAAAAAGCACCAAAGCAGTTAATGGATTAATGTGGTACATAATAAAAAAAAACCACAAACCCAACAAAAACAACAACAACAAAACACACAAAAAACCCCAAAACACAAAAAAAAAATCACAGTATCAGTTACTGACCTGGAAAATATAGCAGTGAAAAAGACCTATACTTGCTGATAGGAACTGAATTTCTTTGTTACCTTCAGAGGAAAACAAAAACATCCTTCCCATGTAACACAGTCATTCTCAAATTTTGAGCATTTCTGGGGAATGTAGCATAACCATTATACCAAATATAATACATACTGTCAGCAAATTGCAAAATGAGAATTAAAATAAAAGCCAGTTTTTTAGAAGGACAGCACTTTGAATACCACTGAAAGCTCAGTGTATATTGAACTCTCAGTGGTTGTTACTATAACATGGCAATATTATAATCACTGCAAGCATGGCTACTCCTCAAATATGTCAGGATTTTGCCTCAGAATCTTACATTCATTTATATAACACCCTACCCAAACTGGAGGTCCTATTCATGAACTTTCTTAGTTTTAAGTTGGTTTGGTATAAACTTCGCCAGTTTTGATGAACTGCAGAATAGAAAAATATTCCAGGTTTTGCATGGCACAAAACTAGGATGAATTCTTACAATCAAGTACTTATTAAAAAAAACTCCAAAACATTACTTTGTACATAGATAATTTTCTACCCAAATGTCAAGACGCTAGAAAATTCCTTTATATGCCTTCTTGGTTCCAGATAACTTCAGGATTCAAGTGTCTGGAAGAAAAACCTGTGCATCTATTGTATTTTACTCACTTTCCACACAGAAATTAACAAAAAAAATCTATCCCCTGTGTGATAAACAATGAGTGATCCAGGCCATTCTCTTCTTTCTTGTAGAACAAATGCATGTATCAAACTTAAAACTACTGAAAAATAAAAGGAAATTATTTATTAATTCACATTTAATTATGCAGAATAAATATACATATATATTTTACCATGAGCACAGTCAAGCACTGGAACAGGCTGCCCAGTGACTCTCTCCTCTTTGGAGAGACTCAAAATTCAGACAGAAAAACCTGCAATGGCTGATTATTTTGAGCAAAATGTTGTGCTAGATACCTCCAGCAGTCCCCTCCAACCTTAACTGTCCTGTGTTTCTTTGAAGACTATACAAGGATGCAACAGAAATATAGAAAGTAAAACGAGCAGCTTGTGTTTTCCTGATTTTTAGATTAAGGTCCAACCTGAAAAAGAAAAATCATGCCAGAATTCATAAACTCAAGAAATCTCAGTGATTCTGAAATTGTGAATTTCCCAAGCTTTGATTCCACACAAAGTTCCACAGAGAAGAAACTGTGAACAAGTAATGAAATCCATGACTGCCTGTTAAGCATCATACACTGAAACTTTGAAAAATAGCAGAAAAGTAATGATTAAGTACAATTAGAACCACTATTAATTAAATACAATTAGTAATTCTAGGAAAGGGAGGCAGCAGCGAGCATGAAGTCTTCTAGAGTGCAATTTAAGATACAATACAGTCTAGCGGAAAATTACAATCAAATCCTCTGAAGAGGTTACAAATTCACATTACATACGCTTTGTGTAGCTAGTAAGTAAAAAAAAAAATCTACTGAAGTTAAAACTGTGATACAGCTAAGAAAAAGTAGAAGCAGATGAAAGACACTGAAGCTGATTCTGTTCCTTGTACAGAAATACATTCTGCAAGTAAAACGTGGAAAGGATTTATGTAGGAAACCAAATTAATTACTTTAAGCACCTGAAGCATTTGATTTCATGGAATTTGGATGCAGCTGGGAGTTTATTCACACACATTTATGGTCCTCCTTACATTTCTCCTGAAAGTTTCACATTCAACCCTAATGAACCTTCACACAGCTGCTGAATACTTTAGCTTCAAACATAGGGAACAGTTTCTGACTAATCCCTGTTTGATTTTTTATAATAAAAAAATTCAGAAAATACACATAATTTTTTGCAGTTACCCAGTAGTTCCATTGCATCATCTTCATTGTCAATGTCTTCTTCGGTTACAGATGGAGCTGTGCTTTGAGCAGAATCAAAGGAGTCCTGAGAAAGCATGGCAGCCAGCAGTTTCTTATGTTGCTGCTGTTGATGTTTCAATCCTTTGGTCTTTGGCTCCATTTTTAAGCTGTGAGGGAGCAAAGCACAACTTTCTCTTACTGGTGCTCTCTTCAAAATACATCACTCATCCCCTGATCATTGAATGTTCTAAGACATTTTGTGTTTTCAGTTTCTACTTAATGTTTTGATTGAATTTGGGAAATTTCCCATTGATTTTTATGTGCACTAATCAAGTCCAAATAAGCTAAATATGTAGAACAACAGGATGCCAATTAGAAATCAGTATTGCAAAGGCATTGATGCATAGAAAGAAGTTGACAACAAAAAACTGCTCTCTAGAGTGGTTTCGATACCATTACCCCACAGGATTATACACTTTTCCTGATTTGTTGGATTGTGCCTCTGACCTAAATAACAGATAACCGGAACTGTACAGATGTCAGAAGGGTCTAAGGCAGGACTTGCTACAGTTTGCCATTCCTTTCTTTATGAACATAAAACAGACAGAAGTTTGGTGCCCCACATGAGAGGTACCTCATGAGTGTACCACCAACACAGACTGTCCTTACAGTCTGTTGTAGGAAGGCAGAATTGTTGCAAATTTATGATTTTTAATATAATCAACAACTGTTCATTTCTCCAGCAAAAATAAGAGAAAGTGCACCTTGGAGATGAAGAACAGGCTTTGAGTTTAGGACATCAGGTTATGAATGGGACCTCTGCAAACTCTAGGTCATTTCACGCTCTAAGAGACAAGACATCTAATAAAAACCACTCAAATTCCCCATTGTGTACATTCATTATCCCTGGAGGAAGATTCCCAAGTGCCTTGCATCTTCTCAGAATTCCTCCAAGAAATTTTTCATGTAGAAAACTACTAACAGTGATTTGGAAATGGGTTTAATCCTATTTTCATGGAGTTCAAATTTCTGAAAGATGAACTCAGTACCAGCAGGATTGCCCTCAGCACTTTTCTGTACTCTGTTGTCACTTATTAATACCTTGCCTTTCCTCCTTACAGCAGCAAGAGAGAGCAGTGCAAAACCATTAACAAACACAATCTTTCCTCGGTAGCCATGCAGAACATCAAGGACAAAGAGGTGACCCTTCATCCACTTGACAAGCATCTCTAACAGAGCTACCTCAGACTGGATACACTGTCTTTCCCAGTCAGAGCAGTAGTGACACCTGTCCTTTCAGTTGCTCTTTTTTTTTCCTTTTGAATTACTGGGCTGGGCTTTCAAATATATGACATGTCTGCTTCTGTTGCTCATCATCACAGGAATGCATGTTTTTCAGGAGGAAATGGTGGTTCCATCGCACCACACTGACGGTACCAATGATTTGTCTATGTCTGATCCTTTAGACATTTATATAGTGTTTCATATATGTACCATTTCCTTATGTTTAGTGACATGTAAAACAAAACATACAACCTGGAAATAATGGAACAATTACAGTTTTGACTTTTCCATTCTTGTATTTTAACTGAGTATTGTAATTAGTTCTAAGAGTTTGCAGGCTTATCCCATAAATCCTGATAAATAGTGATAAACAACCTATCACTTTTTATTAAAAGTGTTACTAAATAAAATTTAACAAGACAAAATTGGAAACACGGAATGTGGATATTTCAAATATCACTTTCACTTACTTCAAATATCTCTTTCATTTCCCAAAATGAAACTTATTTTTACAAAAGGTAACTTAACTGTGTTACTAAATAAAATTTAACAAGACAAAATTGGAAACACGGAATGTGGATATTTCAAATTGCCCTCTCTTTCATTTCCCAAAATGAAATTTATTTTTACAAAAGGTAACTTAACCACTTATGGCTACATTAACTATGAAATAGAGTACTGAAATTCAGATGACATAGACGAACTTTTTTTACAATGGATAAAGTCACTCTTTTGAGAGCAAAACACTCTTCCCATTATTTTGAGTACACTAATACACTATTTTTAGTAAACTAGTACACTATTTTTAAGTGTACTAGTTATTTGCTACATTAAAACTAAGTTATTATCACTTGGTACTTGTCTCGTGCATTTGGTGTGTGGTCATTTCCAAAATTCTGCTAATAGCACTTTAATTTACAGTAACACTAAATCAGACCTTGAAGAAACTGCCAGTTATTAGTGAACTATTATTAAATATTCAGATTAACCTTGATCAACATGGGTCTTTAAAATTTCCATATATAGTTGACATCAATTTTAGTACCACCACTATCTTGAAGTTCTGCAGCTTGGTGACTCCTTTGCAAGACTGCAAACATGATTTTTATAAATGCCATACAAAAGCTGATGAAATGCTAATGAAGCAAAGAATTATCCCAGACATAAAATCAGTAATCCAAATGTAAATCCATATGCTGCATGTAATTTAGTAGTTACTCATTCCCACTGAAAATCAGTACTCCCACTTAGCAATACATATTTTTCAGTAGGCCTTCAGCACTTACTGTACCTACAGAGACATTAGTATCCCATGAGTCTTTCCTGGCTTCAAGTTCCCTATATTCTCCTTATTCACATATCAGAAAACCTGATTTTGTAATGATACTCAACATGATTCCTCAAATACTATACTCAAAGCCATTAATCACATTTTTAATTATAGCATTAGCTGTGAGGTTTCTCTCAGCTTGTACCACCCTCTACAAAGAGAAAAACATGCTGCTTTGAATCATGTCTGTTGCTCAGAACTAGACCTCTGCTCCCTTCTGCAAATTAGACAGAGATGCTTATTTTTTCTCCTTTCTATTGACAGAAGGGACACAATATCCTCAATTTGCTCTGAAACATGGAACAGATCTATTCAATGCCTTTACTGAACTGCTGAATAAGGAAAAAGAAACCCAGGCCTGCACAATCAAGCTGCAGTGCCAGTTGCTGACTCCATTATTTTCCCAGGAACTGCACTGAAGTGACCCAGAGTCTGAGTTGTGTTGGTTCCCATCCAAGGGCTGGCTGAGGGATCATTACTACACACTGCTACTTCTTTGAAATAGTAGTACTCAAAGCTACCCCCACAATAATCTAATTAAATGAAGTACTCATGGATAACAAATATTCCCAAGATGTGAGGAAAGTTAATGAATGCAGTCTGTAACAGCACAGCTAGTGACACATTAGTTTCAGTGTGAGAGGGAGGTGAGTTCCAATGTAGAAGGCACATGGAAGAATGTGAACTGAAGGAATACCTCAGACCTTTTCAAAGGAAAAGCAGAGAGTTTCTGCCTTCCAAAAAATGGAAGAAAAAGATGTCTGCTCCAATCAAAGTACTAGTTATAACCCAGGAGATATGTTCCAAGGCTAAGGAAGAACATAGGTGCCTAAGTCAATTAACAGAGGCAGTGCAGAAGATTTATCCCTTTTAAAGCAAGGCTGTGACTATTTAACTTTCTGTGACGAACATATCTTTAAGTCATGGAAAGTAGACTCCTTGTATTATAATCTCTCCCATTCAGCTGAAGCACAAATTCTTTCATTCAAGCACAATAAATCTTCAGAAATCATTTACTGCAGAGAACAAAATTTCTCTTTGAGAAAGACTTGTTATTAACACCAAAAAAGCTAAGACGTGAAATGAAAATGAATTTAGGAAGTCCTGTTAAAAATAACATGGATACTGCTTCCCTTGCCTATCTCTCCTTTAAATGAGAAAACTAGATTTATCACTTAAGTGTCAAGAAAGTTAATAAATAGCTACTACCAGCCCAGGAAAGATGGAAAGGTATGAAGTATCTGAATGAAGCTATACATCACAACATTATTACACAATAGACCCCAACCATGTCAAAATACACTTAGCTTTTCACATGGGAATAAATCCATAGGATTGCAAATGGGTATTAAGTTAATCATACAGACAAGCATGAGAAGAAAAAAGTCACATATTAATGACTTCTATTTATTCTGCATGTGCCCACGCTGTGGCATGGGAATTCAAAACCCCTGCACTCTGCCCTCAGAAATGGAATTTTTTTAACAAAGACACCTCTGTTTCACAAAATACAAAGTTTCTAGGCCAGATTGAAAACCCACCTTCCTCCGGGACTGCTGCTATCCTCACTGTCCCACTGCTCATTTTTATTTCTTGGTATGGGTGGCTGCAGCATCTCAGCAGCCAGAGGGTCTGCATCATTCTCTTCACGGCCAATCCATTCTCCAATAACACGAGGTCTGAGAAGGGGAGTATTAAAACCTGCTGTGTCCTGAAGAGAAATAAAAATAACAAAAAATAAATAATGCACTGTTTGTTCTCAACCATAGATGTAAACAGAGAAAGAAAAGAAAAAAAAAAATTTAGAAGTACAAAACCAATACATTGCATTATCATTTCAGACGGCTACAAAATACCCAGAAACAATGATGGACTAATGAAAAGTTCTCCATTAAGAAAATTCCAAGAAATGGAATGCCTGATGCCTCAAATCACTTTTTTTTTTTTTTTAATTACAACTGTAGAAAAATCACTGTTTTAAATAAATGCACATCTCTTAAAATCTTCAGTGTATCTGTTCTGCTCAGCAACACAAGGCCACTTACATTAAAAAAAACCCAGCCAAAAGACTGTTGTAGATTAATAGCATCACTCTTATTTGCATTATGCATTAATGCGAAACTAATAACTACATCTGCATTTTGAATTTTAAAAATAACCCTGCTGGGCTTTATATAATATATCTTTCTATTCTGAAAATGGTATTAACATTTGAATAAAATGCATTTCTGAAAGTATTTTTAACCACTTACTGGAGGACAATAAATTGGACAGGATTACAAGAAGCAAGCAAAATATAATTGACATATTCAAAACAATAGCAATAATTTGCACCAGCATATGAGGAATTTAGATTAAAGTAACAAGTTGTCCTTAAATTGTATGAAAAAGCATTCTAATGTAGTGAGTATCTCTCTTTTCAATTTTACTAGAATGGTTGTAGATAAAGGGTCATGTAGAACAGCATAGTCAAGTTAAAAAACACACCTGTATGCCAGAAAAAAAGGATATGAAATTATGGGATAGGAATAATTACTTTTCGTTAATTAAACTGTTTATAGGCTACTCAAAATATTTCAAACATAGTGTGCCTAATTAGGAGAGATATATTCCTATCATTTAATGAGTGAAAATTATAGGAAAGCAAATCCTGTAATGGCTGTTACCTTAGTGCCTTAATAAATATTCCTGCCATAAAAGAATGCTTTCCAAACAAAAAACATCTGGAAAAAGTACAGCACACTGACTAGGTAGCCTAGAAACCATATTTTATCTCCTTCCTAAAAACAAACCACTTTTGAATTCTCGTAATTGAAACAGATACAGTAAAAGCAGTTTGAAGTAGAGGCCTCTACTGAATGCCAGGTAACAAACAAACAAACAAACCAAAAAAAAAAACCAAAAAAAAAAAACAAACTGCACAATGCTTTCGATATGAATATATTTACCTTTTGACTAGATGGTACAATTTTGCTGAGCACAAGAACCTCTATTTTGAGAGTCAAATGTAACCCAGGCCTTGGATCTGACTCACTCACCCTTGTTCTTTCGTTTTGCTTTCTGCAATGTGCTTGTGAGTGCTCTTCCACACCCCACTCCCCATACCACTGTCCATATTTGTCCACCACTTGACTAATTCACTTTTACACAATGGTTTTTTTTCTGCAAGGACCACTGAAAATTGAATCCATGGCTTCAGATGTTTGAGGATACTTAACCAGTGGAGTTGGGGTTTTTTTATGTATTTACAAATACATGTTTTGTGTGTCTATTTGGACCGGTGGCACATTTAGGTAATGCAGACTAGATGACAGTCACCTCTGGGCACTCGACAAGTGTAAATTGTCACAAGTGTGACAATTCCTGTGAGTTTAGAAAAAAGATTATTTCCTTGCTCATAATGCCTTCATTACACAAGGTGCTTACATTAGTTAATTAACCATGTGGCCCTTCTGAGGTTTATTCCTATTATTCTAGCTATTGTATCCCATCCCTTTCTCCCCAGGATAATTTCTAATAATTAATATAAAATTGTCCCTGGAACTAGTTAGTTAGAATAACTTGCACTGTCAATCTTGCTAAAAGGTTTCAGTCCCTTAACTGAAAACGCAAAGTACAAAAAAATTTGCCCATAAGTTTTTCCTGACATTACACACTGCAAAATCAACATATAAATAAGTAGAACATGAATTCTTTGACTGTCCTTGCTATGCTAACTTTTTTCATAGGTATTTTAAGGATAAAGTAGCACTTTCATACTCACCAGAAATGTAATTTACATTACACAGTCATGCTTTGCCTCACTTTATCACCTTGCTTTCCTTTTTGAATTGTGTTAGATTAGTACACTACAGTTTCAGTGACCTAATTTATTGTCCTCCTTTCAACTACATAAGCAGCCTCAGTGAAAGCACCAAATGGAGAAGCAGAGACAGCTCTATTCAGAACACCAGGATGTTTATTTGGCAGTCTATTTCAAAGGCTACAAAATATTGAGATGAAGTATTCTGTTCTCAAAAAATATTTTATAGCTTTGGTTGTTTTTCTTCATATAAACTTTAGAATCTTAATTGATTTCCAATTTATATTCACTCATAAATAACAGATGATATTGACAGTGACAGTAGTATGTGCAGAAATATTTTCAGTACAGGTAGGTATTTAAATCTGCACTAAAACAAAGAGGACTATTTCATGGTGCAGTCCAGGTGTCATCCACTTGTCCACATAAGTGGCTACCAAATTGACACACACAAGCTACCTGTGGAGAAAAGGAGAAGGGAAAGACTGACAGACAGCTGACTTTACTCTTCACATTGGGCTGAGATGTGGCTGCTGAATGCAACCTGTACCTCAGGAGACAGCTTTTGTATATCCATTTATTTAGCATCACTTAAAGAGCTCAGTATTCCTATTTTCTGATATGGATTTTAAGGGAATCTCCATAGTGAGAAATATTTTGGGATGAGAAGAAATTTGTTTATTTGTAAGAATAGTTGTTTGCTCTATTTTATTAGTTGTAACCTGTTTTCATTTTAGAATACTACATATAAGAACAAAGTATGCCCTAGACAGCATAGAAAAAAAATATTGAGGGTCAAAATTAATTTTTAGATCTTCACTTAGGTCTAACTCTGGATTTCTAATACTTAAGTATCTCCCATTATTAGTGTTTGAAGTGACTGAAAGATATCACTGGGAATTCCAGACAAATGTCACAATGTTATGACAGGTCTCACTCTTGAGTGTTTTCCACTAAAGGTTTTTTTTTTTTTTTTTTTTTTTTTTTTTTTTTTTTTTTTTTTTTTTTTTTCACCCTAGAACTCTGTGAATATCACAAAAAAGGAGGATATCCTAGCTCTTCTTTGTTTACATTAAACCCTTGACATTATGCATGGAAGTGTGCAGTTTCCTAAAATCCTTCAATAGTTTCTGTTCAGTGGCAATGAGAGTGAGTCAGTTCAGAAATATGTATTATATTAAATCTGCATTTTAAAATATGTGACTGACAAGGCATCCCTTCTTATTTCCTTTCCTTACACAGTGTACTTGCAGTGCCAGTTTCTGACTTTACATAGTTTCCTTGGCCTAGAGACAGAGGCTGAATCATCAAGAGACAGAACACCTCTGCAAGCCTGAAGTAAATGAAAAAGCAGGTAATTGCCACAATAAACCTATTTTAATTGCAGTAATTTTAGGATTTTTTGGCTTTTTTTGCAAGGTTACTAGTAAACTTGGAAATTTTAGGAGATTATGTCAAACTGGAAAATTCCATATTGACTGAAAGACTCACCTTGTGTGCCTGTATTTTCTCTATTACTGTCTTGGACAAAAGCTCTAAGTACTGACAAAAAGCTGATACTAGGAGATATTTGACAATAATCCATTTAAATTAAACACTCTTTCACCAAAGTGATTCACAGCAAAATGGTTTTCCAAATCCAAATGCTAGAGTAACTAAGCAACTAACTAATTAACTGGATTACTTGGAGGGGGAGGTACATCTACCAAAAATGCTGATTAAGTACTCCCCTGAAAAAGGCAGCTAGAGGTTACTGAACCCAGAAAGAAATACTTTTTCGAAAAAAAAAGACAATCAGAAACAAAAATAAAGAATCAAAAATAAAGAAACATGCATGTGCATTCTCTGTTTTCTCTAGGTTCATAAGCTAAACCACAGATAAAATGGCATAATTATGGGCTTTGTCATAGTCTTAGTTCCCCAAAATATTCCTGTTCATCAAGAAAGTAAAGAAAGGAAGAGCACACAGAAGAGTTTTATATGGCTCTCATAACATCTCTGCAATGCTGATGTTTTACTAGAATCCAATGCCAAGTTTGGCCATGCTGTTCTTGTCCAAAGATATGCACCTGATAAGTTAAACTGTTAATCCAAACCACAGATGAATGTGATTTCAAAAATTATTCAGTCCTGCTACAGTTTAGATAAGGAAGCTCTAGTATCAGCATGTATTAAAAAAATTAAAACTTGACTACATTTATACCTGAAAATAAACATCATCTGTGAACACATTCAGGTGAAATAGAACCAATTCTCTTTAATGTTAAAACAACTTTTATCAGGTTGTCTTTAGCTGCTTTTGGCCCAAGACAAATAATACACATAGAAACAAGTCACAGGAACATTTTAGAAATTAGCTTGTGTAAGGGATCATTCCTAGGAGGCAAAATTTCACAGAATGGTCTTGGCCATGCTTATATCCTTAAAACAGACTAGATTTTACATTAATTAAAAATCCTTAAAGGATCAAACAATAAAGAGAAATTAAGTTCACTAAAGATCATGGAGGTTAAAAAATCACTCATCTCTAAATCTATGCTGAAAGCCTGTTGAGCTGTACTGCACAACTGGTGCATGCTAGAGAGTTTAATTGTTTGGGGTTTTTGTAGAAATAGCTTTTGACTTCAAGAACATTCAATGTATTATGAAAAGTATATAACCTAATTCCAAGTTTGTTTTTTTTTTTAAAAAAAGCCTACCACTCTCCAGTTTTAAAGTACAAAAAATAAAGTATATAGTAACAAAAAAACCCTGATTCTTCACTCAGGCTGGATCCTGTGGAAATTCCCCAATTATGTTCTCCATCTGAGTTTTCACACTGAATAACTAAATTTAAAAAACATTAATGTTTCTGAACAATAAGATAGCATAGTCTTAAAAAACCCTAAACCAAAAAGAAATTATTTGCTAAAATATAAATGTAAAAAGCATGTGACACCAGGCTCTAGCCTAAATTGTCTTTTTCCTCCCTCAAAGAGTATCTTAGAGCGCTTTTTCAACAACAAAACATAACAAATTGAGTTCTTCATAAGTATTCACAAAGGTGAGGGTTCTAATGGAAGGACTAACTAATTGTGTTTACCACCACTTCTGAGCCCAGTTATGGAAACAGTGAGAAGACTTAGGCCATAGCTTGGAAATGGCAGCCACAGATCCACCTGACAGCACAGTAACATTTATCAGTCTTACCTAATTGGTCTTCCTCAGAGAACGCAATGAAGATTATTTTATATGCACTTGTGTCAGAAGGATTTGTGTCCTCATTTTAACAGCAGAAACAAAAGTTATTTAAAAAACAAAGTGTTCTATATTAGGCATTATTCCTGCATCTTATGTACCTTTTGAACTCATTTTCCTGACAGCAATGGTTTCTGACACCAAGAACACAATGCAAGTTTCTTGGCACTAGAAGCACACTGCTGCTCACTGCGGAAAATAGGGAAGAAAAATTGGTTCTGTTTCCGTAAGTACTTAAATAAACGGATCTTGATTAATTTTTCAGTGTAGAATTTATTAGACCTAGAATTAAAATTCATGTTAGCTGTGTAAGGTATCAAAAATAGCCAGAACTGAAGAGACCATTTTTGCGTTCAGCAAGGAGGTAAAGACTGATCTTTATGACTTGTGCATTCCTGAGTAAATATGGGTGGTAAAAATAATTTCTCATTAATCATATTTGGGAATGCAGAATTCAATTTCATGAATTAAAAGGTATTCAAGGCTAAATGTTTCCAAAAGTACACAAAGTAATACATATTAAGCAAAGATGGCATCAAGATCAAAAGTATTTCCATTTGGTCTTAATGGTCTCATTGAGTCTCTTAAACTCAGTCACTTTTTTTTTTTTTCCACACTTGACAGCCCATCCTTGGTCAACATCCTAACGCATCCACATATACTGTACTTACCTATACAGCTTTCCACACCCAAACTTCCTCTGAACCCAACAGAACAGATGTGATATGCCAGGACAGTGGCATGTGCCTTATCATAATCATCTGTCTCTTTGTATTGCTCATTAGACATCTTTTATCAGTCTTACCTTATCAAGTTCATCAGAAATAGCAATGCCTGAAAACAAAACAGATTTTTAAAAAAATTAGAAAAATGCTTTCTACATGTCTTTTACTACACTAAGTAAAAGTAAGGTTAAGTCTGAAAACTATACATAGTGTTCTCTGCATACTGCTGTACCATACAATGTATCCTATTTCGTTCCATTAGTGAAATTGCCTGGAAACAATACACTCTTCATTTTCCTCAGCTCCAATATTATCAAAATGACTTTTCAAAAAACTATGGAAATGAGAATGGCAGATGTGCCAGTAAAGTGACAACAAATTTAAGCATACATCTATTTGCTTTCTAAAATTAAATCAGCAATATCAGATTTACCATGGACACATTATTATGCAAATCTCACCCTGACCAGCGTGCATAACACATTATGCTGCAATTACAGGGCAATATGGACATTTCTCTCTTACTTCACAATACAAAGTGGAAATGATCCTTTAAAACCAGGTGGAACTTCAGAGAATAAAGCAGAATTTGTCAATAGAATGCAAAACGTTTCCCAAATTCTCTGAACAAGAACTTGTGTATTTGCTCATCTTTTCTGCAGATGCCTGCCCAAGGTTTCCCTATGCTTGCTTCCACCATGTTATGTTTCAATTATTTCTACTCTGTAGCACATTAAATATGCAGAGTTGGTCTCAGAATTTTTAACTTTTTACAAACATCAGTATACCACAAGGAGTACTCAAATCATCATGTGTATATTGCTACCATGTTGAAAATTCAGATAGATTGGAAGCAAGCATCTCTTAGATTCTTATGAGATTTGATAAGAAACACTTCCAGATTAGAAGTTCAAAACCAAAGAAAAGTTTCTCCTGGTGGTGAAAATAAGTGAAATACCTATGAACATACACTTGAAAACTTGTTTTCTAAATCATAACATATTATCAAGACACCTTCTTTGATGAAATGCAAGAGATTATATTGCAAAATATGTATAGAGAGCTGATTTTACTCTTTCTAAAATCACACTTAAGAGTGCAGCAGTATAAGCTAATATATAAGCTTATACATGTATAGGTCTACACTATTTCATATACCATGACTGCATGAATTCTTTGGAGGTTTTTACTGTGCTTTTCATCATTAACTCTATTTGGCTAATTCTCAGTTTAGATTAATTCCTTACAGCAATTTCTGTTTTTAAAGGAACAAAGTGCTAAGAGAGTTGCAATTATACTTTAAAGGCCTCATCAACACATAAGAACTATGGCAAGAGTTAAATAAATATTTACAGTAATTCAATAGTACTAAAGTGGATTAAATTGAGAAAGATCTATTTTGACTAATTCTTCTATCCCTCACTGCAATTAGCCAGTTTTTAATAACGTCAGACTATTATTTAGCCCAGACACAATACTAATGCCCATAGAGTATAATAACCAGGTTGCATTCAACCAGACTTTAAGTTGTTATGAATTTCTTCAATCCCAAATGGACATCTTCTAGAGAGAAGATAATTTCACTCTTGAAGGCAATAAAAACCTAAATCAAGCTTCTTTTCATTTCATCTTTGAAAACTTGGCTACTGTCAATCAGCTCTCAATCACATGGATGCATTTTGCATAACCAAGGTCAATCCACTCTATAACCACATATACTCTCTAAACAGTCAACCCAATTTTTCTTAGCAGTTTCCCATAATGTTAATATAGTTCATTTGGTTTTGATACAGGCTTATTTCCTCGTATTGAAGATTAGTACCCTTTTCTTCTGCTTTCATATATCCCTGTGAATGGGTACTTGTAACTTGGGAGTGGACAGAAGGGAAATTTTATCTTGTGTTGACTCACCCCTTAAAAATATATATTTTCAAGTATGGTAAAAGAAGATAAAAAAGCTAATCCTGTTCCAAAAATCTGCTCCAAAAAAAGCCAACTGTTTTTTACTACCCAATTGCCTGTGTTGCCTATCAAAGATCGGTACTAAAAGAACAAAGTAGCAAAAGCAGTACGGAAAAACAATACACACTACTATATGTCTCACTCAAAAAGCTCTACTAACTTCTCTGATTATATCACATATAAGACATAAAATTTTATAACATCCATAATCTAAATGAGTATGTTTTAGTAAAATGCTCTGTGTAAGTCCTATTGCTCCCTAGAACTTACTCTGAATTTAGAGAAGACACTGAACTGAGTAATTGAATTCACCAGAATGCCTCAAATTTCTTCTTTACTAAAATGGAAACAGTAGCAAGACACTAAAATAAACTGTATCTTTTAGACAAGCATATAGAGAATTAGCAGCTTCTAAGGACACATTGCCAAAATAAAATTTTACACTTAGAAATCTTTAATCTTTGCAATCACAGAATTAAACCTGCAAACTCTTTTTAGCTCACTGTCTCTCTAAGGTGGCATCAAGACAAAAGAAAAAGGATTCTGGGGAAGAAATTTTTAAGAAGCTTGTTGCAGCAATCTCAGCACGGTGATTCTTCTGGAGGTGGTATTTACCATGTCAGTCACAGAGACCTTTTTGTTGTCTTGAGCCTCATTAATATTAACAGTACTCCTTTAGTCACTGATAATACAACTCCATTAGCAGAGACTAGGATAAATAACCACAAATAACCTTGGATGCACACTTAATTTGTTCCAAGACACTATTGCACCACAGTTAGTGTATGCCCAACTCTCAACAATTTTCTTTGCAATTGCCAAACTCACAGAATGTCTTGGCTGACTGAGAGGAGGGGGATTTGCACCCTATGTGCAGTAGACAGAAAATCCCAACAGTGACATCATTTTTTGGGCTCAGATGTCAGGTGGAATAATATGTACCCCAGTTTTCACAACATAACTCACCAAAAAATTGGAACTCTTGCATATTTACCATAAAAAAAACCCACCAAACCTGTCCAAAAAACCTTAATCCTGAGAACAAAACGAGAGGTAGTCACCATTATTGTGCAGGAGTATTTAGGATTCCAGTTAATTTCTTAACCCTTAGCACTCTCATGACTTTTCAGCATGTCACTTTTCCTGTCACTTACTTTATTTTCAAATCATACACTGACAATTTAAAATACTTAGAATTTCTATAGAGAAATGCTGACAATGGTTGCTATCTCTGGTTCATGTAATTGCTAGTATCCAGACATCAGCATTTTTCAAAAAGAAAACTCTTTTGTCACTTCTTTGTGTATTGATTATGCTCTCTGCACTTTCTATATTTGTTTTCATTTACCTTTTATATATTCTAAACAGGAAAACAGCATTATAAAATCACAGAACACTAGAGGCAAAGGGAAAGCCCATTCCACAAAACTACTAAATAGAAACAACATTGCAGTTTTAAGCAAAACATTCATAGGTATAGCAAAAATGTCCATGCGCTAAAAACTTTCAATCTGACAATTTAGTCACTTCTTGAGACTAACCTTTTCCATCCAAACTTAATCCTAATCACAAAAACACTCTTAACACCAGGAAACCTGACACATCTAGTTTATTCAACCTTAAATCCTATGGCTTTGTTAGAATAAAAGTTACTATGAACAACGATTTCTGACTTCCTCCAGCTTAGAGTATTTAAAGCCTGACTCTTCATGATGATGAATGCAGAGAATGAAAGTTTTAAAGCTGCATCATCGTTGCCCTGCTGCAAGACACCAAGCAGCCAATATGAGGTGGACTGTTAAAAACTGCTCTCCTTCCTTTGTTGGGAGAGGTCTTCTGATGTCAAAAGCAAATCCTCCAGAAATAAAGGAGTATGCTTTACCTTTATTCTTATAGCAGCTGTTTCTCACAGACAATATTTGCTATGGTTTTATATCATAATGTGACTGACAACTATACAACAGACCAACCACTCTTACTAACAATTGCAACTACAGCAGTGAGACGTTTCTTCCCACCATCAGCTAAGGCTCATGGGCAAAGTTTAACATGGTAATTATTTAGGTAGCTAGCTGCCAATTTCATGTATTTAAAAAAAATCCTTTTACAAGTAATTACTGATGCTGAAATTTGATCAGGCATCACAAGTATCCAGCCAGCTCAGTTGTCTGGTGAATTACAAAGACAAATTCAGGGCACTTTTTTCTACTTTAGGATGTAACAACCCTCTGTGCTGTAAGTGTGCTGAACAATGAAGTAATTGGTATGAACATGTTTCCACAGTCCTTCAGAAATGCTCCACAGCCACAACTGCTGCCATCTCTGATCAGCAACAAATCTGGAGAGGTGCTGTTAATGCTAGCACAGCCCCTCTCAGCTGGAACACTTGTTCTGTCATTAGCTTGGTTTTTGAAGAGGACTGGAAAAACAATGCACTGTCTGATTGCAAGAACGGTTTGGCATGCTACGATTAAATGAAATATATCTAACAATGTAATAACAATGTAATTTATTAACTTATATTTATTAATGTGTAACTTACAACCTGCAACTTATTATATTTTAATTACTATTACCATGTCTACTTTAAACAGACTGCCTAAGAAGTGTACCTCATGCTGTATTAGCCATTTACCTGGCAGATTTTTTATATTTAAAATACTAGATTACTTGTTTGTCCTGTCTCTTAAAATTAGCATAGATTATTAAAACCATTCTTTACATGGCTATCTTAGATTTCTATTCCCAGTCTTCTATCCCTATGACAATCTGCAGCAGCACAATGGTAAGTATGGAGAAATAAAGATGGAGATCAATGCAGCATTACAGCATCTTCTCTGATGTAAAAGCCACCTCTCAAAACCCTTGCATTATATTTTAATAAAATAAAATCCTTCCAAGTCTAGAATAAGTATCTTCCACAGTACAGGTTTTCTGCTTAGGACATTCTGCTTCATTTCTAGCTTGCCAAGAAATTAACTTCCTTTTCAAATAAAACTGAATATTGTTAACAACAATTCCATGAGTTCTTAAAATGCCTAGCTTTTGCATATGCATGTGCTTCTTAGCAGAAGAGCTTTATTTATCCAATATCTCATGCCTCCACTCAGTGACATTATTTCTCTTAGAAAAGTGAATTTTAGACTT